GTTGGGTGGGCGAACAGGCGGGCGGGTTGGCACAGCCAGGCAGGCAGGCATGCATGGGGGTGGACGGGCAGGCAGCAAGGGGTTGGGCGGGCGGAGGAGAGGCAGGCACGCACGTACCAGGGCAAGCTGTTGGGCTGGCAGGCAGGGGGTCAGGGGGGACGGGCTAACGGGCGGACGGGCAGACAGACAGGCACGCTCACACACACCGGGGCAAGCAGTCAGGCTGGCAGGCAGGCACACGAGCAACGGGTCAGGCGGTCGGGCAGTTAGCAAATGTTCGGGGGTGAGGGGACTGGCTGATGGGCAGACAGGCGGACAGGTGGACGAACAGGCACACACCGGGGCAGGCAGTCGGGCTGGCAGGCACGCACGCACGCACTGGGGCAAGTGGTCGGGCTGGCAGGCAGGCACGCACGTCCCTTGTGGGGCGGTCGCGTAGGCAGCAAGGGGTCGGGCAGGAGGACGGGCGGACAGGCAGATGGGTGGACAGGCAGGCATTTACGCACCGGGGCAGGCGATCGGGCTGGCAGGAAGGCACGAGCGCAACAGTTCGGGCGTTCAGCCAGGCAGCAAGGGGTCAGGGGTGGGGGGATGGGCGGAATGAGCGGAGAGGCAGGCAGGCACGCACGTACGCACGCACCGGGGCAAGAGGTCAGGCTGGCGGGCAGGCACACGCGCAATGGGTCGGGCAGGCAGCAAGGAGTCTGGGGAGGGGGACGGGCGGACAGGCAGGCAATCATGCACGCTCCGGGGCAAGCAGTCGTGCTGACAGGCATGCACGCGTGCACCGGAGCGGGCGGTCAGGCAGGCAGCAAGGCGTCGGGGTGAAGGGGGGGCAGACGGGCGTACGGGCCAACTGGCGGATTGGGCGGAGAGGCACGCACGCACGCACGCACCGGGGCAAGCGGTCGGGCTGGCAGGAAGGCACACGAGCAACGGGTCAGGCGGTCGGGCAGGTAGCAAATGTTCGGGGGTGAGGGGACTGGCTGACGGGCAGACAGGCGGACAGGCGGACGATCAGGCACACACCGGGGCAGGCAGTCGGGCTGGCAGGCAGGCACGCTTGCACCGGGACAGGCGGTCGGGCAGGCAGCAAGGCATTGGGTGGGTGGAGGGGCAGACGGGCAGACGGGCGGACGGGTAGGCAGGCAGACAGGCAGGCAGGCACGCATGGGGTGTGGACGGGCAGGCAGCAAGGCGTCGGGCGGGCAGACGGGCCAAAGGGAGTACGATCGGGCGGGTAGGCATGCACGCACGCACCCGGGCTGGTGGTCGAGCAGACAGCAAGGCGTCGGGCGGGCGGATGGGCGTACAGGTGGACTGGTGGACGGACGGACAGGCAGGCACGCACGCATGAACTGGGGCAAGCGGTCGGGCTGGTAGGAAGACACGCGAGCACCGGGTTGGGCAGACAGCAAGAGGTCGGGGCGGACAGGCGGAGGGGCGTACGGGCGGACAGGCAGACGGGYGGACAGGCAGGCTTTCACGCACGCACCGGGGCAAGCGGCCGGGCTGGCAGGCAGGCACGAGTCCACCGGGGCAGGCGATCGGGCTGGCAGGAARGCACGAGCGCAACGGTTCGGGCGTTCAGCCAGGCAGCAAGGGGTCTGGGGTGGGGGGATGGGCGGAATGAGCGGAGATGCAAGCAGGCACGCACGCACGCACCGGGGCAAGCGGTCAGGCTGGCGGGCAGGCACACGCGCAACGGGTCGGGCAGGCAGCAAGGAGTCTGGGGAGGGGGATGGGCGAAGGGGCGGACGGGCAGGCACGCACCGGGGCAGGCGGTCAGGCTGGCAGGCAGGCACGCTTGCACCGGGGCAGGCGGTCAGGCAGGCAGCAAGGCGTTAGGTGGGTGCAGGGTCAGACGGGCAGGCGGTCAGGCAGGCAGGAACACATGGGGGTGGACGGGCAGGCAGCAAGGGGTCGGGGGGATGGGTGAATGGGCGGACAGACGTATGGGCGGACAGGCGGACGGGCGGACAGGCAGGCAATCACGCACGCTCCGGGGCAAGCAGTCGGGCTGGCAGGCATGCACGCGTGCACCGGAGCGGGCGGTCAGGCAGGCAGCAAGGCRTTGGGGTGGGGGCGGGGCAGACGGGCGTACGGGCCAACTGGCGGATTGGGCGGAGAGGCACGCACGCACGCACGCACTGGGGCAAGCGGTCGGGCGGGCAGGCAGGCAGGCAAGCAGGCAGGCAAGCAGGCAGGCAGGCTATCAGGAAGGCAGGCGGGCAGGCAGGCAGGCAAGCAGGCAGGCAAGCAGGCAGGCAGGCTATCAGGAAGGCAGGCGGGCAGGCAGGCAGGCAAGCAGGCAGGCAAGCAGGCAGGCAGGC